TATGTATTTTGTTTTCATTTATGTAGGTCCTTCAGAGAATCTTCCGAAATGCCAAGTTAATACTAAATTAGAATACCAAATATTTGCAACAATGCTTTCGTTTTACATTCCTCTTATTGTTGTACTTATAATATATGCAAATATCTACCGAACGGCGCAAACAGCCATGGATAATCGTTCAAGCATTCAAATGTCCCAGTTTCTGACACATAATAATTCGACAACAAATGTCGCCCAAACGAATGTGACTACACCACTTGCTCAACAACATCAAAACGGAAACAGTTGTTCATCGCCGCAGTTATTATTAAACGTATCAAATAATAATACGAATGGTAATGACGACGGCTCCTCTGCGTCTGTTTCGGACCAACGACTAGGCGGACAACGTTCGACAAAGAATGATGACGGAAGGAAATCCACAAGTTGCTTTTCCACGTCTCGATGTTTAGGTAGACGATTGAGTACACCTTTCAACGGCCGTCTGTCAATCTTTGTGACGCGACGTTATTCATTCTTTCGTCATGTTCATCTGCCAAATCAAAAAGCCATTCGTACACTAGGTGTCATTCTCGGAACATTCATCGTTTGTTGGCTTCCATTTATGTCATATGCAATAATTAAACCATTACATGAATATATCACAGGTCTGACAGGTACACCGAAACAACTGAATGCACCTAAATGGGTTGATCCTGTTTTACTTTGGTTTGGTTATACGTCGTCTATGTTAAATCCATTGATTTATTCGAAATTCAACCGAGAATTCCGTACACCCTTTCGAGAAATTATCTACTGCCGTTGTCGTGGTTTGAATGAGAAGATTCGTCGACAAGAGTATCTCGAAAATTTATATGGTGATAGTCATCTACAAGCACCGCCTGTGCATCATTCCCACCATCAGGCAGGAGCCAATACACGAGGTAGTGCCGGACTCGATGCAACCATATAAGATACTGTGATACATATACATATATAGACAAGAGAGAGAGAGAAGATTGTTTATTCGTTATTTATGGAGAATCATTCCCGAGACATTCACATGTCGAGAGTAAACACATCAATTCGAATGAACAGTCGTTTTGAGAGAGACATACGACGGTGAAGTTGGAAATCAATGTACACAATGCTCACAACCGGTTCCACGAATAGAAATAGAAAAAAACATGATCGAGTTTTTTTTTTAAATTTCTCTCTTTTGGTTTGCTCTTGTTTATCTGTTTGTTTATTTGTGTGTGTGTGTGTGTGTACGCTTTCTACGCAACTCGCAGCATTTCGTCTTCTCAAAGTTTTTTCCTCTCTTGTGCGAAAGCTTGGTTTTATCTCTTGTTTTTCTTTCTTTTCGTGTTCTTGTTCGGCTTTGAAAAAACACTTTAACTTTTATTTTTTCTATAAAATCAAAATGAAAACTGTTTGTTCATTCTACTGTTGACTAAAGTCAAACTGACAATGAGAATCTGAGGAAGAATAGACAAAAATATGTCGACCTTGATCCTCTTCTATGTCGTCAATTACTTTAAGTAGATTTGTCAGCATAATTGTTGTTTACATTCAGAACATCATGTCAAGAATTTTGCTTTTGTTTTCTTGTAAAAGCAGACCGATCATACTTTATACTGTCAACGATGAAGAATAATATTATCATACAAAATCAATGCATGGAAAAATAAAATTTCTTCAAGCGAATCGTTGACAAATATAATGTCATGCTTGCACTTATAATCGATTCTCTCTGCCATAGGGAAAATTAATGTATTAGCGTTAAAAACATTTTCTTTTCTTTGAGTGTTCGCTCGTTTAATACAAATCATTCCGAATGACGTATATCAGCATAATTCTAACAAATTATTTTTGTAAATTCCTCAAACTAAAATATAGAAGTAAGTATGAAGAAGAAAAAATAACAGATGCCTAGTAGATTGTAAGTTATCGCTCATTCTGTATCGTAATCTTTCTCTTTATTGAGTTATAGTTAAATGTGAATTGTTAATAAATACCTGTCAGAATTTCAAATGCGCATATGAAATTATTTTTGAAAATAAGTACTTCGATTATGGTTGTGTATCTATGCTCTTTTCCTGTTTCTTCGTCCTTGAAGATTAAATGATTAGCATCAATCCTGTCAAATTGAGATTTGTCAGAATATGAATAAAGCAGCATTCATAGAATGAATGCGTGAAACGTATGATAACTACGTCATATGTGTGGTTAATCAATTAATTTGTAGGAGCAACTCATGCTAAAGCTCTTTAAACAGAACGGAATTACAACCCTCTAATCCATTTCGATGTTGGTACTCGGTGATCACGGATTAGCAGGCACGTCGTTTTATGTGTCGGTCGACTTTTTCCCATTCAGTCGTACCGAATAGTGCAATGCGTGAGAACCAGATTCAACTGTTTTATGAATTTATGACAAAATAACCATTGAATTACAGACAAATCTAATTCATAATAATATTTCAAATAAAAAACTAGAGCTTCCATCAAGATGACTCTGATCGTGTAAATTTGGCTGTGCGAGCAAGAATTTGTTTGATATCCTCTGGCGAATAGTATTCATTCGAATTCGTGACTGGCGTCGACATCATTGCTGACTGTTGATAATCTTGAATTTCCATCATATTCGTAAACAGCTTCAAACGAAAGAGTTCTTGCTGGATATTATTGGCTAGATTTCGCTGTTCTTCTACTCGCTTTTCATTCCATACCCAAAGACACCAATCGATTGCCGCAGAAATATATCTAATATATGAAGATCCAACTGAACATCAAGTCAAATGTACAAATCAGTCGCTTACTGTTCATAACAGCCTGGTTGAGATATTCCATCGAACACATCGATAGTCTTTTGTTTTTTCTTGTCGGTTATTCGACATTGAAAATCAACGTGTGGATTCATCTAAATAGCAATCTGAAGAGAATTGAATATTTTTCCTTTCCAATGCATACTTGACAAGAATGTACTTGTTCTGGTGTCATGTGCAAAACAAAACCATTGGAAAATTTGATTTCAACGTGATTATCGTGAAAATATCTGAAGTGTCCAGCATCAAGAATGAATGTCTGACGATAAATATTATCTTCATTGTCAAAGTCATCGGCCAATGAAGATGATTTCTTCAAGAGAGAGGAGAAAAAGCGTTGTGAAGTTTCATCAGAAGCGATTAACTAACCAACTCTTCGATTGTATCGTTGATACTGGTGTCTATGATTACATCGTCTTGAATCCAGCATGGCTTTTCTTGCACACGTCGAGTCATACTAAGTATTCGTTGACGCATATTAGACATAAACCGAATAATTTGAGAGATTCGTTCGTTTTGAGGTGGTAATGCATGTTCCGATAATGTCAGTAGACGACATTGCTTTAAATGAAAGAGAAAAGTTACGGAATTTCATAACTAATTTCAAAGCGAAATAGAAAAAACACGTACGTTGTCTTTCATTGAATAATAATTATAGAAACTCGATTGAATGTCCGTAGTAATAACGTAATCAATCAGACGTTGACTATTTTCATCGAGAACCAACGCTTCTATACTTGTCGGATGATCATATTCTAGTCGATAAGTCACTGTTGCCGTTTGCAAAACACGCATATCAGCTTCGAACATCATTTCATGATGTAAACGATGGCGATGTGCTTTCGGACACGAGGAACTTGGTAGTGGTAACGGTAATTGAAAACTCCATTCGCTTTCATCCTCATCTTCATCCTCGTCAACATCATTATCAGTACTGAATGAATTGTGTTCATTGGATAATCGCTCAATAAGTTGAAAACACTTGTGAACAAATTTACACAGATAGTCTGGAATTCGTTGTGATGAAAAACATCGACGAACAGGTGCAAAGACGTGAATATACTTTGTGGGAATATCTGTATCGTTTTGTTGCTTGGTTAGAATGCGTGAGACTTGTAAAGGATGTGTGACATAAACAATTTGTCGACATTGAGAAATCTCGATTCGCGCTCGACCACACAACGATGTCCATGACCATGTTTGAGTTGGATCGTCGTCGGCAGTCGTTGGGAGGGACACATTAGGAGACCAACGTACATGAGTTGCTGTGCCTGTGGATTGCTAAACATGAAGAAGATGAAAAACATGAACCAATGGAATTACAAACAGTCTTACATAACATTGATCGGAATCGACAAGGTTTGGAACAAGAAATGGCTGTTGAGCGTAGAGATTGCGAAATGTCAAAACCGATCGAATCCGTGGTAATAACGTACTCGTTGTATATATCGTACGATATTTCATTGTCATAACACCTAATCAAAGTAGTTCATGCATACATTATTCGAGCAGAAAAGATTTTATACCTTGTGCATGGTTGCCTTGTTGAACAACGTATTCAGTAGCACATGGCGAAAGGAATATTTTTGTACCATCATAGAATGTTGCTTCTACTGAGTCATTTGTGTACATAATAAATTGTTTCGCGATGTTGGGATCTTTATTCATGTTTGAAATGTTAGCTTTATTAACGAGAGAAGAGAAAAAATGATCTGAACATTCTTCCATTAAAGTTGACTAAATCGATGACAACGAAATAGTCCGTGAAAACTCAATCATGGAAATTCATTTATGCACTCGCCACTGAAAATTAATCTGTTTCCTTTGAATGAAATTATTGAAATTATATTTTGAAAGAAAATTTGTTTTATTTTTCACCACTAGATGGCGTTGGCTTCCCATTTCCGTAAATATCACTAGAGTCTAACACAAATACACAGTGCAATTCTTTTGATTATAACGGCAAAGACTGGTGTATTGACTACAATTTCGTTTACTTGAATACAAAATATACAGTATATATATATTTATAACTTCATTTAGTTACATAGATCAATCAAGACATCTCGAATAGGAATTTGAATACAATGAATAGTGCTTGTTTTTTCGCGCGAGAAACTAGATATATTAATATTGGAAAAAAGACAGAGAGGAGAAAATAAACAAACAACGATTTCGACATGATTTTATCACATTATTCTCCCCATAAGACAGCTCGTCTTTGCTTTTCGCATGAAACAAGGAATCGGCCATCGGGATGCCAAGCCACTGCATTGATAATTGTCCTAAAATAAAAGGAAATATAAACCGGATTGTCTAATTCAATCGGTTTCTTGGCGGAAATAGCACGGAATGAATAATATGCATTTATGACGGAGCTCAACACGAATCTCACAATTACCTCACTTGAAAGAACTGAATTTGTAATATACTACTAAGTAGAAAGTTGACGAGTGGTTGACAACGTCTCATCAGTGTGGATTATTAACTCAGAAGTGCCCTTTTACCAAAAGAATTACTTACGAGTGTTCTTTATTGAGGACCTTTTCGACTTTGCCCGTTGTTGTATTCCACACAAATACGGACCCGTCGTTACCACCAGCACATGCATATGCACAATCTGGAGAAAGGACAGCTTTGACCGTGTCTGATGTGACTTTGAAATCATCGTGACTAGAAAAATGAAATATACAGTGGGAATAACTTTTCAGCATGAGAATGTCATACCTAAATGTTTGTATAACACGGTTTTCCCTGAGCTCAATTAGCTTCAATGTATCATCTCGTGAGCACGCTAACAACAACTGTTTCTCTAAATGAGCGTAAAGTACTTGTTTTGGAATGAAACTCTAATGATTTTATTCAATAAACAACCTCGATTGATTGCTAAGGACGTAATTGCTGCTTGTAACTGTAATTCACATTTTGTTGAATCATTTTTCGCATCCCAGAACCGTATTTTCTTATCGAAATGTCCACTAATCAAACTACCCGACGCATCGAGTGCCACTAGATCATGACACTTAGATCCGGCAAACAATGTTCGCACACCTGAAAATATAATTTAATAATTCAATCATCAAAATCGAATGAGTCTTCTTTACATTGCCGATTTTGTAAATCCCATAGTTTCAACGTACGATCTTGACTGCCCGATGCAATTAGACTTGCAGTGATAAATTTAGCACAAAAGACTTTGGCACCATGGCCAGTGAGTGTATGACGTAGACGTTGGTCAGCAAGGCCCCAAACGCGACATGCGAAATCTTCTGAACATCCGAGTATCAAATTTGCCTAAAATATTTCTTCGCTGATAATTAGATGAAAAATCTCTTAAGATTTCTTACGCCTTCGTTGTCAAAATCAATCGCAGTGACAGTCGAATTATTTCCAGCAAGAACATAAGCTGGTTGGACTTGACCTACATGAAACATATCAATCAGATCCATTGATCTCAATAGAACTAACGATAGGGTTTACCTAAATTTCCATTTAGTTCCCAGATATGGATTTTTCTATCACTTCCACCTGTTGCGACCAATGATCCTGACGGATGAAATTGAATGGCATGTAGTTCATTATCGCAACAATCCTAAAATGACAAAAAAAAACGAGTATAATCGGTGCACATCACACTCACTCACATCAAGAATTTTTTTTAGAAACTGACCCATTTGGCTATAGCTTTTGTTGGAACGACAACTTTCACAAAATCTGCTGCTGGTGATCGATGAATTTTACCATCGTTAAGTGAACTTTTGAATGTTGACACAGTTGTTGGCGTACTAAAACTAGTGATATCATTTTTGGCTTCATCGAGTTTGCGTTTGACGTCATCTTCGATTCGTCTAAAACCATTCGACATGATTTGACACATGAAAGAGGGATTGGAATGAGAATAACAGACCTTTGGTGCTGTTGCACTTCTGCATCTAACGCATTTGCTTGTTTTTCAACTTTTTCAGTCATTTCTCGACGTAAGAATGCGTTCGTAGCGTCTAATTCTTGTTGACGTTTTTCTAATTCACTGTACGCTAATTGTAATGCTTGAAATTCATCAAGTATTGTCTAAAATGAAGACATTTCTCTTACTCCATGTTTTTGTTTCGGAAAAATCAACTTACTTCATTAACTTTCTGTAAACCACTCGATGCTTCTTTTGCTGCTTCAAGACGTTGTTTAAGAGAGATATTTTCTTTAGTTAAAATTTGATTTCTTCATAAAAACAAACAGCAATATGATCAACTCGATATGAAAATCAATCAATACTCACTTTTTCTCTTCCGAATCAAGTTTATCATCTCTTTCTTTGACAATCCGACTGAGACTAATGACTTCTTTCGTTATCTAATCACATAGAATAGAAAAGTATACATTTCAGTCAATAACATACATCTCCTCGTTCGCGTAACAACGTGAGAATTTCATCTTTCGCTTTCATATAATCATTTTCTAATGTCTTCACTTTATCATTTACTGGTAGACCAGCCACACTAGAACAAATCGAAAGCATATTCCTCTCCGCCCTGCGCTTCTCGTTCAAACTTACCTAACACTGTTTTTCTGCAAGTCGGTATTCTCTTGGCGCAGTGATAGAATATCACGTTCTTGCTCAGTACATCGCAGTAAGATTATAGAATAGTTTTCAATCAAACGGTTATCTATTTATATAAAGCAATTCGAATGCGATCGATTACAACTTTCGCGACTTACAGTGTCTTACAACTTCCGCATATACATCTCGTTCGTATCGATTTCGTTCTCGTAATTGATTATATATAATTTGTTTCCATTCCATGATACGATTTAATCTAGAATAGAAAAACGAACATAAATTACGTAGAATGATAATCGATTTCATAGTATCTATTGTCTTTTCGTATGTACATGGTGAGTCATTATGCATTAGGAAAAAAAACAAAAAACGTCGGATAAAAATATAGAAATACCACACGAAATACAAACAATTATTGACTCCAAAGAACCACACGACGATGTTTTTCACACGATGCAACATATTTCCCATCTGGCTGCCAAGCAACTGATGTGACCATTGTACTAAAGAAATAAAAATGTAATCGAGTGTAGAAGTCGCGAAATCATACGTATGCTTTTGTTGGAGAACGTTTTCACAAACACGATTTTCAGTGTTCCACACAAATAACGAACCGTCTTGGGAACCAGCACAAGCATATTGACCATCCGGTGATAAAATTGCTTTAGCTGTGTCAGTACTTACTTTAAAATAATCATGACTAAAATAGATCAGTAATAATGATTACGAAAAGGTTATGCGATGATAGAAATCTAACCTAAATGTATGAAGTGTTTTATGTTGTCTTAAATCAATGAGTTTTAATGTATCGTTTTTGAAACAAGCAAGCAGTTGGTTTTTCTCTAGAATAATTCGTGAAAAAATACGAACGGGTAAGATTATTTTGTGTTACCTTGGTTGTAGGATAACGATGTGATGGCAGAATCATATTTTAATTCTGTTCGACATTTATCCGTATATGGATCCCACATACGAATCTTCTTATCGAAATGACCGCTTATGATTGTACCAGCTGCATCAGTAATGACTAAATCATGACATTTTGACCCAGCAAATAATGTTTGTGTGCCTAGAAGAGAAAGTTCAGACTTTCAAGCGTTGATTGATACAATTCTTACAATGCCGGCTATACAAATCCCAAAGTTTAATTGTTCTATCGGCACTGCCCGTTGCTAACTTTTTTGCCGAAATAAATTTACAAGTAAATACCAGACCTTGATGTCCTCTGTATATATCTTTCAATATTTTTTGTTCGCCATATGACCAAATATATACTGTATCACTCGAACATCCAGCCAGAAGACGATACTATGACAATATGAATTAGTCTCATTATTTACAACTCGATCTTGAGAATCTATTTACTCCATCATTGTCGAAATCAAGAGCGTTGATTGCTCCATGACTTCCTTGCAGTGAACAATATTTGTACTGCTGACCACTCGAAGAAATTTCCCATAGATGCACCATTTTGTCACTACAACCGGTTGCTAATATAGAACCTGACGGTTGAAATTGAAGAGCGTACACTTCGAGATCAGTACAATCCTATATATAAAGTATGTAGGTCGAAGAAAGTTTCTCATCTGCAATTGAAATAAAATTATCCTTACCCAATGTGTAACTTCTCGTGTTGGAAGGTATGCTGAAGTGCAAATTGTCGGTGCTCGATAGAAATGATCATTCGAATGATTTTTCACTCCATTTGTCAATTTTTGCATGAGATTTCCAAATAGATTTCTTCCACCGGGAATCATACTTGTGCTTCTCTCTCGATGTATAGACTCATTATACGAATGATACATCACGTCCGAATTACTACCCGCCGAACTATAAAATACTCGATAGCGCATTCTCATTTGATATTATATTTTGTATCTACCATGAATTCATTAGAAAGTCTTGGCTTACGTCAGATGATTGTTTCCATGGTGGGATGATAACCATATCATCTTCGAAAAATATGCTTGGTTCAACATACCGCTGCTGTGCTTCGACTTCTTTGCGAATTCTGAATTGAAAATATGGATTCGTCTTTTCTTCTTAATGAAGAATCTCGCTCTTACTTGTGATTGGATTGTTCAACTTCGAAATCATTCATTGCTGCACGTTCATTTTTATAAAAAATTAATTCATCTTCTATTTGTTTATTATTACGTTTCGCTGTTTCCAATTGTTGTTCAAGTTCGAGATGCGCAGGTCGCATTTGATTGTATTCAATTTGCAGTTTGTTAATCTTACTCTGACTTGCTTGAAACTCTTCTTGAAGAATCTAAATGAATATTTGTACGTCTATAACATTTCATACGGTAATAAGAACTTACTTGATTGATCTGGGTTAGATTTTCCACTTCAGACTCAGCTTTTCTGATATTTTCTTGTAATTGATCATTCGCAGATTGACATTGTCGTGCTCTTTGTACGAATAAAATAATACATAAAAGCGAATAAGAACATTTGAATTGACGAATATCTTCTATTACTTAGTTTCTTCGGCAATGAGTTTATCGCTTATATCAGCGATAGTATGATTCAAGCGAACAACTTCTCGAGCAAGCTAAAATCATTAATTGACTGAAATTTTCGATGTTTAATCCGATCTAATGTTCTTACTTCACCATTGTCTCGTAAATATCGAACAACTTCTTCTTTTGCAACAGTCAATTTATCGTTTGCATGAGCCAACTCTTGACTAAATATAAAGAATATGGTTGATACTCGTACAAAAACAAGAAAATAATCTCACCTTGCTTCAGATGCTTTTTCCAGACCGGCATTAGCCAAACGTAAATGATGAACATCTGTTTGGAGTTTGTTACATTGAATCTGTAGGATAGCGTTATTTTCTAGGATACGATTATCTATTTTGAAAAGAAAAATACTGATAAAAGTGTGAATTGACAACGAGCGAATAGATATACAATGTTCAATGATTTGATCGTAGACGTTTCTTCGTTGATTTTGTTCTTTTAACTGATTGAAGATGGTTGATTTCCAATTTGCTACGATCACTTCCATTGTTTCGCAATTGAAATGAATGATTTCTTATTCGAGCACCAATAGACAATAGATGAGAAAAGAAAACAACAGAACAAGATAGATAGATAATAACGACACTTCAGCGCACGCGACAGATAGATAGATAGATTGAAATGACGTGAAGAAGGGAAGAAAATAAATAACAATTCTGTTTTGATAGTATTTCCGCACATCGTATTCGACTTCGACAGAGGTCGGCATATATCTGTTCGAGATTTTTGCCAACTAATTTGATGAACAAGTCGAAAAAAACTGTCTGTCTATTTCTCTATACTGACCTTTAACCAAACATTGCGTCTCGAGTAGTTATATCCAATCCGACGGACATCACTGTGGCATAATAAAGGGAATCAAAATTTGTTTCGTTCGATATTCTTCTTTTTTCTTCATAAAGGTGAAATTGACTTGATGTTCCAATCATCAAAAGTGTACTGACTGACATTCTTTGCTGTTTGTAAAACCGGTAATATGACCTATCAACTTTTTTCATACTTTCAGTTTTTGTTTGATAAGAAAACGAAATGATTGAATCATTGTTTTAAAAAACGTAACGGTTCGCCCCCAAAAAAGCTATGATTTCCTGTACATAATGAAGATTTTCTTTGAAAATAAGAAAATTTGCTATCGATGATGATATGCTATGCACGAGGATGACAACGAGCGACTCTCTTTTCTGTTTCCATTCTGTTCGTCTCCGATTAGTTAAGCTTTTTTCAAATCGGATGTTGATTTTGACTCATGCGATCGGTACTCGTTCACGTCTGTTGTTTTCTTTTTCATTAGAGAGCCTTCAGAGTTGCTTTAGTACTTAATCTAATCAAACATGAAACCATCGATTGTTATTGCTGGACTTGATCAGGAATTTCTCGGTGAAATTCTTCAAGAATTAACTGGAGAGTCGAAAACGATTGACAACAATCCAATAGAATGGACTATCGACACAAAATATTACACTGCCGATGTTCATCTATGCCCAGTGAATACCAAAATGCTCGTAGAAGAATCAGTCGCTAATTCTGCACAGATGCTTATCGTATTAATTGATCCAGTTCAAGTATGAAATCATCAACGATAATCACGATGAATGCGTGTTTCTTCTTATAGATCAATAGTCGTATCAAACTCGATAGTTGGCTTCCATTTTTCAGTGTTCTCAGCGATTGTGAAGCGAAATTTGTCGTTGCTCGAAGCATCAGTGCGATAGCTGAAAGTTCGTTTTTGTAAGGAAATCAATCATTCTTAGTTTTCGTTATTTTCTATTAGCAATTTCCAAAACAGATATAAAACAATGGTGTACAGAACACGGTTATGAATTACTTGAATTAGAAAAAAGTGCCACATCAGAAACAGATGATGACGACGAAGACGAAAACACACATCGTAAGTAGGAAAGATAAGACAAACAATATTCAAATAGATGTACACATAAAAAGAATCTTTGTTGATGTTTAGTCTATCGGGACGTTTATGGTGTACCACGTTTGATGCAAACACTTCATGTTCATCAATGGCCGAACATGAATTTGAAAGGTAGGATGAAACTCTTCTTAATGACGCTTAGAAACAAGATGATTCTCGATGACGAGTGGTTTTTTACGTTTTTTCGACGATCCTAATCGAGTTTGACTGTGTTGTCGGTATTTTCGTTTCGATGTTAGCCGGGTATCCACTGGTTTTGCTACTGGCAATGGTTTATCATAAACATGTGATACATGATTTGAATTCGATTCGAGAACAGTTATATCGTCATCATCCGCAAGATTCCAAGTCACCGCTTGTAATTGTTGCGTATCACGTTTGTTTGGTGGAAGTTTCAAACGTTGTAATGTTGCACCTGAACGTATGGTCATCAATTGACTCGATGTCGTCATAGATAGATTTTGTCGATTCGAACCGAAGAAGCACATAAATTCATCGAGACGCCATTTCGAGAGAAAATGTTGTGCAGCTGATGAGAAACGTGTGTCGAAACCAGTAATGATCAGTGGATCAAGAAGAATATTCAGGGATTTGGTTACTTGAACGGTATCTCGCAACAAACGACTTTTCGTATAGAGTGTGATGATCTCTGCTGGTAACCAGAATACAGCAAAATTAAGGAAGAGAAAGAGAATTTGAAGAATAAGATTTTTACGAATATGTACATGACGCTCGAATGCTCCAGTAAAACGTCGTTGCATGCGTATCAAATCCACGCAGATAGTTAAGTAACAAGCAAATGAAATCGACAGTGGAAGAAGGAAAATATTACCTTAAAAAAAAGTTTTGCTTTCAATTTGAATCGAAAATAGAAAACAATCAATTTCTTTTCTTACCAAGTCGATAACACATATAGATCGCTACAACCGTCGATCCATATGTGTACGATATTTGGCATTCATTGGTGATTTCATGTTGAGTGATTCGTAGAATATTCAATTGTGTCAACAAATAAGCTGGAATGATCGAAGTGATCACTGGCATAATCCAGAGTGCCAATACGAAGAAAAGACTTCGGGTTGTTGAACGAGTTGATTGATTATTCAAATTAGCGAAGTGTCGGCGGCGGTAGATCGAGATTGCTGTTAAACTATAAGCCATAAGAACGGTTAAATATAAAGGAAGGTAGACTTGTAATTGACAATAGAAACGACCAGCTAACGAATTGAGTGTTAATTCGCCTGTTAAATGAATGATGACATAGATTAACTCGTAGATTAGACCAAGAAAATCAACGAGTAAATAGTTTGATGTCCATATAAGACTGCGCATACGTTGTCGACGACGTTGCGTTCGACTACGTGAATTACCACCTGATTCAGCTGTATTCTTACTAACACGTTGTACTGTCAATTCAATAAAAAGCGTAAACACAATTGCATACAAGGGTAATGTCAGACTCAACAGAGACAATTCAGCAATGCGCATGTTCCGATTGAATGCTGATTTAAACAGAAAGTATTTGTTCAGTAGAGATGACGATGGCGTAGTTGTTATCCGTTGTAGTGGATATAGTTTCGATGTGTTGAATAAACG